GAAAGAGTAAGGGGTGGACAACACTGCCCAACTTTTACATAAACAACTGACATATGGCTGTTACACAAAGACACATACGAGAAAAAACTCATTTATAAGCAGAAAATCGTTGTTCTTCTTGATTGCTCAAAGAGCGGTGACAATCAGAGGAAAATTCAACACCAGCATATACTGCACATACAAACACAGAGACATAAGATAAGGAATCAAGCCTGATGCTATCACAGCTTTTTTTTTTTTTTTCCTTTTTTTTTTTTAAAGTACCCATTTAGTTTTGCAGGACATTATTTCTAAACATTTTGGGTTAAAATTGCTCTTCAGCAGCAAGGAAGAGAACAAAGACACATGGCGGGCAAAGGGGAAGGGAATATCAACAGAATTTACCCAGGTAGAAAGACCTGGGGCTTCCAGGTGGATTAAAAAATAGATACAATAAAAACTGTGCCTCTTCCAAGACTCCAAGAAAATGGACCATATCTTCTTACACCACAGTATGCTGCATACTACTGCCTGCCTACTCTGCTTATCTGTCACAGAAAGAAAGAAAATGGAGAGGAGGCGGGGGGGGAAGGAAAAAAAAAAGGAAAAGCACTTGCAGTTTAGCTGGAAGAGCAAAGAAAAGCACTTATTCCATTTCAGTCATAATAGCTGCAAAGTCTTGCCAACAAACGAACCGGCTGACGGCGTGCTTTAGAAGCTCCATCCGTGCCTTCGGCTATGCTTTTATTTCATTCAGAGTGCATGACTATGCAGAAGTGAAACGATTTTCAAGCTAACTTTGGGAGAAACGTACACGATGATACAGTAAATCAGTAACAGTAAAGAGGACCTTATGCGTCTAGGTTATTGAGATCAAGAATAAGCTACTATGGTAGCTTACTTTCCTCACTATCAGCTGCCTCACAGCCGTGCAGCAAAGCTTCAGCAGTACTGACACAGTTACTACCTGCTGGTAGCCACCAACCTGAGGCCACTGACTAAAGGGAAAACAAGGAATGACCAGAGTCCCAGAAGACAGGGCATCATACCCTCCACCAAGGGAAAGCTAAGACATACCCTTAGCCGCATGGCCAGAGACACGTGTCCTGTTTGAACAGTGCCCACTCTGAGGTGAAACAGAGGTTCAATTCCTACAGCTGTCAACTGAGTACTAAAATTTGGCTCAATTACAAAGAGAATACAAATTCAGTGGAAAAACTTGGGAGGAGCTCTGATCAGCCACATTTAATCACCAGGTTGTTAGTTTTTAGGTTTGCTTGTTAAAAAAAAAGAAAAAAAAGAAAAAAAAGAACCATCCTGCACACGTTGTGACAAAGCAGAAACTTCATTCACACACTCCTCAACTTCAGAATGCCTGCTCCCAGAAAGGATTAAACCCAAGCTCAACAGTCACAGAAAATACAGTTACCATTAGAAAAATAGCAGACAAGGTAATTATTCCATGTGAGTTGCATGCCCTCTTTAGGAAAGGTTTCTAAGAATCACAAATTCAGATTTTTAGACACTGTTTCTGAACAAGGTACATTTCTTTGTACTTGATGGGAAAGCATGCACACATCCTTATGGGTCATGTAAGAAAAAAAATCCAGGGAGATGAGCAAACTGCAGATGCCCTTTCAGATTAAAAATGGAGTCTCAATGCACACTTAGGAAGAAAAATAAGAGGATGGCATTTGCCACATCTGTAAACTGGAACAGCACAAGATAGCTGAATGCTTTGTGTGAGCAGAAGTAACAAGTACCATACAAGCAGGTCTTCAAGTTTTGGGTCCCCCTCACCTACAAACAGGTATTCCTCCCATTCCCTCCACCTCCACTACTGATAAGCAACAAGTGTAACATTTGTGAAAATTCCTACAACAAGCTGAAGCTCCTGGCCCACCGCATGCAGGGGAAGCATACTTCTTGTTATGGACTATGTTTATTACACACAAAAGTACAAGACAACATGCAGAGCAATAGGAAAGTTACCTGCAGATCCACGCTGCGAGAACTTGCGATCCAGTAATTGAAACCCAAAACAATGACGCACGCCACGAGCGCAGCCACAAGGAGAGGTGGAGACTTCATCCCTCGGCAGCTGTTTCCTAGCCCTACCATTTCAAGAAAAAAAACAAGCCCAAAGAACCACAACAGTGTGGAAACCTGCAAATTAAAATAGACACGTTATATTGCATCCTCCGCCATGGCTATTTTATACACACAGTGAAACTTCTACTGCAATAACACAACAGCTCTCAGCTGAAGGGACTATACCCAGCAAGGAGGGCATACTGTTTAGGTATTTCCACCTGAAGGATGAAGAAAGGCCATCTCGTACTATTAGCTTGTACATAAAGCTTCACATGGACTTGAGGGGGGAAGTCTTGAATATTCCTAACAATATAATGAAAATCTGCAATAAACAGAACAAACCAGCCATCCTTTTATCATATATTCCACCCAAAAAGCTAATTACACACCACTGATGTACAGATAGAGGATAGATTCCCTGCTATTTCATTTAGTCAGAAAATAAACTTAGTCTCGCTGTTTCAGGAGTAATTTGCACTTTGCTTCCCAAACTTGGATAGTTTCAAAATACTCCCCCTGATAATTCTATTTTAACTTTTTGGTTCCAAGCTTATAAATAAATAAATGGATCAGATTGAACCAAATTACTTCAAGGATAATCTAAAAAATAAAAATAAAAATAAAAAAATAAGCAGACACTGTTGATTTCAATGGTAAATTGTATTAAGCCATGTTTGCTTTGATCCTCAGCTGCTTTCTCTGCCCCTAACAGAAAATAAATAACCTTGCTTTAATGAATGGGCAGTATCAAGTGTACTACCGGTTGCTATCGAGACTGGGGTTGTTTCTGTGGAACAGCCCATCTTAACAGAAAAGCGGGGGCAAAGGGCAGTTGCAATTCTGTTTGAACTAGGCCATAATCATCCTATGAGATGACAAAATCTGGTCTTAACGGGTGCAGTAGCACCTAGCTGAATCCTCAAGTTCCACTGGGAAGCTTGGACACAGTTTGTAGCAGATTGCTCTCTTGTAAACTGAGATCAACTTTTTTTCTTTTTGCACTCCTGCAGACAAAAGCCAGCAAAAATGAGCACAGAAGATCAAACAGACAGCAAACACGGATGCATCGCAAGACACTAACTAAATCTGAAATGGGTACATTTACTATTAATATATTGTACAGTCTCTCAAGGTGCATGCTCTTAAATAAACTTCTTCCCTACGGATGCAGTTCACAGGTTGTGATGTATTTAAAAATTAATAAATGGTAGCAACTCTCAAAGGGTTTACATGTGGACGTACACCGTAATCACAGGGGAAGAAGGTGATGCCAGCAGTTAGCAGGTACCAGAAATGCTGATTCTGCTGTATGTCCAGCATTTAAGTCCTTCAACAGCTCACCTATACTTAAGTGTGCATATGCACCCCCTACAAAATCCCCTTTGCATTCAATTTAAGATATAACCCATCTTCCTCTTTTCTCAGGAGGGAGTGCACAATACTGCCAGACTGGTGAAGGTTTCAAATCTATTTGTTCATTTGAAAAGTTTGTGAACTTGTTTGTATTTGGGGACGGGATATATATGGAGCCTAAAAGTAAAACGTGGCTTCCTGAAAATGCTGCTTCTTTGTGCACATACACACACACACAAAAAAAACCAAACCCAAAACAAACAAAAAAAAGTGTGTATAGCTGCACAGGTCCGACACCCGAGGCCCGAGTTTCTTGCCTAAGGAAACCCCAGCTACAGAGCAAACCGACAGATGCAGCACAGCACCAGTGGACACCCATGGGGCCACGTACAGCCGAGCTAAGGTCAACAGAAAAAGCAAAGGCATAGGCAGGAACCATGCATTTTTATTGTAAAGCAAAAAAATCAAGATGCAGTAGACTAAAACCTACACATCTTGCACAGACTATTCTCCTGCTGTGCCACCCTAAGAGGAGTGCCTGAGAAGTACAGAGCCACCTTGCCTTACACAGATTCCCTCAAAACCAAGAACCACAGGTCTCCAGAGCGGTAAAAATGAGAGGTGGAAAATGGGGATGATCAGCACCGCCACATCAGCTAAGAACAAGATAATTCATTTACTCTTGCTTACTGGGATAAAATCTACATTTCGAAAAACGTATACCAGAACCTGTCATGAAGTCATTCGTATCCTGTTCTTTGCTGTAAGAGTATTAGTTGGTATGCTTGAAAACACAGAAAAATTACCAAACATAGCACTGCAAAACATAGTGCATCATTCCAAGTGTTACTTGAATAAAGTAATTGGTATTTTCCTCCTAGCAGTCAGAAATAGAGAAAGCAGTCCATGTTATCAGCATAACAACTTGCACTGGAATTTAACTATTGAATAAATATATGGGATTAGCTGTTTAGCTCGAAAGTTTTCAGAGGTAAAGCAACTATATTGTTCAAAGGAAGAATGGTTAGTTCACCATGCAGCTTAAAGCACAGGTGCAAAACCATGTTAAACGAAAGCCGATACACCTACCAAATCCAGCAGCCTCAGCGACACGTAGCTGTTTTCAGCTACTAAAAACAAGCAGGCATGAAAGTGTTGACTTCACTAACACATGTTGGACTTCAATACATTGTTCTCTCTAGAAAATCCAGTGTTGTTTGCCCTTAAATAATTTATGTTAATTGGGAATATATTTTTATACTCAACAGCAGGAAAGCCAAAAGAAAGAGGAAAGAGATGAAACACACCAAAGGATCTTCCATCTGAATAGCGCAGACCCAAATTGTTTAACTTTCTATCATAGATAGACACACACGCGTGCATTTTGGAGAAGAGATAAGCAACTCAGCTCAGTGAGTACATTTACATGGAAATGTATTTGTACATGCTGTTTTGCAGGAAACATCTGGTTTCACACAGTTATTTGAGTTGAAAATAAAATACACTTCTTATTTTATGGATAAGAAAGTGATTTTACTGAACGTGAAGGAATCCATCTTTCATGAATGTTTACTGCAAATGTGAAAATGAGAATCATAGAATCATTAAGGTAGGAAAA